TAATGAAAATTCAGTCTTGAAAAGAAATTCTGACATGCCACACCAGGACGAACTCTGAGGACGTGGGGCTCAGTGAAATAAATAGTCACAGAAAGCGCAGATTCCACTGCAGTGAGGCACCTGGAGGGGTCCCATTCACACAGCAGAAGAAAACAGGAGAACGCGTCAGGGGCGGGGGTGGGGGGTGGGGAGGAGGCAGGGCGTGTCTGGGTTTGCAGGGGACAGTATTAACTCTGCAAGATAAGCAGATCTCCCCTGTGGATAGTGCTGAGTATCACACGACCAGTTCCAAAGGTATTTAGTGCCACTGAACTGCTAAGCAAAAATGGCCAATGTCCCACTTCCCTTTCTGCGTACACCACACATTGAAGAGTCTCCACTTACAAAGCAACGCTCTTTCTCATTGATTCCCAAGTACCAGGCATGGTGCCATGAGCTCTGTGTGTATGTCTTGACTTCTCCTCCCAACAACCTTGAGGAAGAGTGCAGAAGCTGGGTTTGTGTTAACTTCAGCCTAGTTCCACATGGGGGAAGAGGGAAGTCCAATGTGGGGGTGAGACTCAGAGGCCTGTCCTCTCTGGCCAGCCAGGACGCCGTGTGTGTTAGAGACGGTGAAGGGGGAACCCATGTGAACAGCGACCCCGTTGTGTGGTGTGCCACACTGCTGTCCGCGGTGCTGGGGGTGGAGTCACGGTAGAGGGGAGTTCTTCCACACCTACACTGCCATCCCAAAGACCCTTCCTCCAACCCTGGCAGGGCAGGACCAGCTACTGTTCAGCAGAGGCGGAGAAGGAAAGAGTCATTCTCACCAACGGCGCTAGGGCAGACACCCTCCCCACACTTACTCTCAGAGACAGAAATGGACCTCAGTGGTCAGTTACTGAGGGAGGCGGAGCAGGCCAGCTACTCCTGGAGGTCTCAGAACAAGCCCTCCCCCAACAGTCCTGAGCCTGCCCCTTGGGGATCTATCTCCTCTCCTGCACCACATTCTCTGGAGAGTGGGTGGCACTTCCTCTCCTGCTATCTAATCTCCGGCCCAACCCAACCCTTCTCAACCCACCCCAGTGCTAAACCTCTTCCAGCCGACCAAGAGCACAACCCCCTGGAGAAAGAGTTAGAGCGCAAGCTGCCATCTGCCCAGCTTTCCTTCCCACCCAGTGTTGCTGCCAAGACCCCCCCGCTGCCCAGCCATCCCAAGGAGGTTCTGACTCGGCCTGCCCATGAGACTAAGGAACACTTGGAGGCTCCCGGCTCAGTGCCAAGGAGGCAGAATGTGGCTGGCCTGAGTGGGCCTGCTGGGTGCTTAGTTGGTAGTCACCAATGGCTTCTTTGGTGGGTGATAACTTGGTGGCAAAGCCCGCGCCCCACCCCCAAACCCAGAACTCAGACTGACAACCAAAGCAAGCATGAGGGTTGCTGCAAGCCTTGGGGGCAGGGAAATGCCCCAGGCCTGACAGAGGACAGTCTTCTGGCTCAGGCCTGCTGCACCCCTCCCATGACTCTCGCTGCCAGGGAGCTGGGTGAGTGCCATCAGGGCTGCAGGGCTGGGGTGACAGGCTGAGGGGATGGTGACAGACCTCGGTCCCCAGAACTTCCCCAAGGAGGAGGTCACATCCCGTTTCTGGTCGTGCGGCTCAGAGCCCAGGTTCTCAAGTTGTCGAGTTGCTTGGGATACGTAGACATGCCACCCTCCCGATCACAGACGGACTAAAGCCCCGCACGCTCCTCTCTTGTCACTTCCTTTCCTTGCCTTCTTCCTTCCCCGGGTGGTTTCTCTCCTTCATCCTCCTCCCTGAACTCTGGGGGCAGGTGATGAGACACCCCCTTTACTGGACTATAGTTTCTCGTCCAGCCGCTGCAGTCGCCACGGGTGAGCGAGAGCAATCTGTGCCCCCCTTCTTCTGCCTGAGCTCACGCCCACACCACTCTGAGGTCCCTCCAGGAGGGATGGAGTGGGGACACAGGTAGGGGATGGAGTGGGGACATGGGGAAGGGATGGGGTGGGAACATGGTGGGGGATGGGATGGGGACACTGGCAGAGGGGAGGTGACACTGGCATTATAAATAAGGTTCTTTAAATATTAAAATTTGAAATGAAATAAATCCTAAGACAAAGAGAGGAGAGAGAGAGAGAGAGAGAGAGAGAGAGAGAGAGAGGGAGAGGGAAGGAGAGAGGGAGAGAGAGAATAGTCAGATGAAAGAAGCCATATCTCAGGGTCCCTGTGCATCAAAGAGCAGAGTGGGGGTCCGGGAGTCTGAGGGCAGCTTCCCCCGGCCACCAGCCCTGACTCTCTCCCATCATGACACAGCCCAGGCCGCAGCCTTCTCCTTCTATCGGACCCACCACAGGAGTGAGGAGCCACTAACAAGCACAGGGCCAAGGAGCAAGCTCCCGCACAGGGCTGCAGGCTGCTTGCCCCGGGCGGCCTCCACCTCCTCCTGTGGCTCCCAAGAGGGGACTCCTGAAGAAGGCCGGTGTGCCTCCTCACTGCCTTGCCTCAGCAACCTTGGAGGCCCTCCTGAGGCCGCGGCCTGGTGAATGGGCCCCCTCACGCGACTACAATCGCTTTTCAGACGATTGTTAGTGCACGAACGACTCAAGGCCCAAACACAGCAGAAGGGCAGAGTCATTCCGTTAGCTCTGCGGACGCGGGCGGATTCCCTGCTCTAGACCACCTCTAACGTATCCGCGGTTAGTCAAAGGCCACGGGCCTCAGTCTCGGGAGGAAAGCGCACTGCAGCGCTCTTTCCATCCGGGCATCCGTGCAAAACCTGACCACTCGCCAGTCCGGGTCTGTGGCTTTCTTCCCCCTTACCCAGGGTAACTCCATCAACAAAATACTTGCATACATGCGTTGCCTGGTGAACCCCTTTCAATAAATGAATAAATAAGTAAATAACTATCAAATGCTGGACCAGCGTCCCTGGGAGGGTCGCGTTCGTTTACAGAAGTACGTAGTCAAACGGCAGAGATACACACAGTCGCTGGGGCCTAACAAGAAAGAAGCAAAGTAGCCACTTCATCCATTTCTGTCCCAAAATATTAAGTGGTGCCAACTCCAGTGGTCAGAAACTGAGATTGAGTTGATTTAAGTATCCCACTAGAATCTGCATACCTTACAACAAGATTGAAATAGTAATAATATGAAAATAATTAATAATATAATTCAAATGCTTGTCAAACAAAGGGTCTAGAAGTAAAGGCAAATACAACGTTAAACCTATGTGCATATTTCTGAAAATACAATCAGTGCAATTTCCATAACGGAACTCAAAAAAGCAAAAGTTGTACAAAAAAAGTGTCTGTCAGCTCAGTTACAAGGAAAAAGTTAATGGAAGACTTTTTTCAATTTACCACATGTAACATGTAGGCCAGAGAAAATATACTGGTAAGAAATTTGGTTGGGTATTAACATTTATCGCAGCTTAATCTGAGAAACACTATGGAGTGTACCTTTTCCAATAACGACAAATTTAATACGTCTTAAGACAGGTCCGGATTTTTGTTTCTTCACTCACTTAACTATACTACTAGAAAATAATTGGACTTGATTGCTACCCAGATTGCTGCAAAGCAGTCAGGAAATAAACTAGCAGAGAAATCTTGCAACTTTCAGGGGGAATGCTCTAGAACAAACTGAAGAAGTTACGTCTTTAGCACAGACAAAGAAGTGCTGGGGAAAGCTCAGGGAGGGATGGGAGGACAGGGAGGAACGCCGCAGTGAGACGGTGTAGCTGCAGCGTGCATGGCTTTCCTCAACTTCCATCTGCCACTGCTGGAGTTTCGGACAGGCACAAGTGATCCTGACCTCACTCCGGACGGGAAGACTGTTCTCGAGCAGACCCCTCTGGGCCCACCAGCCTTCCATGCCCTGGCGTCCATTTGATGAGTACCCGCAAGGTCACGGAGAGAGAAGCTTCGAAAACAAAGGTCGTCCTTTGACAACCCACACGGGCCCTCAGTGGTTTACAGAAGAGCAAATAATGACTTGTCAAAAAAGTTGAAGGGGAAAAAAAAGAATTAAAAAAAAGTTGAAGGAAATACTTTGGCTTAACTCTTCCAATACCTATACACGATTTCATCTATTTTAGCATTGTCTTTGTAGAGGAAACGCCATTCTCAAAATTGCTGATGTGCCATTCTTTTTTTTTTTTAATTTTTATTAGTGAAACACCGTGAGGTACAGTTGTAGACTTTTGAGACCATCGAGAACCACGTCACATTACTGCTCAGGTGAGGTGTGCAGTGACTCGGAGCCCGGGCAAACAAGCAGGATGCCCGGGAGAGGGGTAAGGAGCTAGACCAAACAAAAGCCCAGTCCCAGAACAGCCTTGCCGGCTGCCCAGAATGAGCAGGACACGTGTGGATTCAGCAGATTTTCTTGTACTCTCTTAGTATACAAAAGTAAAAGCAAATATATGATTCAAGGTCCAATCTAATCCTGCAACTCAAACCCTCTTCTGTGGAAGAAGAATCCTTCCTGCCAGTGAGGGGGGTCCCCAAACAGACGTGCCTTCCAGCTAACCTCTCTGACAACAAAGCCGATTCTTAAGAGCTGAACAACCCAACCATCACCAGGCCTAATAGGAAGTAATTATTGCAAAGAAATCAGATCTAATGCCTATCAGTAAAACCCCATGTAGTATTGAAAAGAAAATCGATTGACTTTCTAGTTTTTCCATCTGCTTAAAACATTCTGAAAGGCTATTGTCATCGTTTATAATTACACAGTCTAATCAACTAAAAATCAGGGAATTTTTCTCTAAAGTATTTCAAACACAGCTTACTCCTTCTCATCCAGAAGATTTAAATTTCTATTCTCTCCCATCCTCTGCCATCTCTGCCAATGTCCTACAAATTACCTTTCATCATTCCCTCTCTCAGGGAGAAATCCCTAATCGCATATTTCTGAGATATGCACCTCCCCACCCACCTCCCCACCCACCTCCAAAATCTGGTTCAGAGCAAAGACACACACACAAATAATGACCAAGCTCACATTTTGTGCTTGCCCTTCACGCGGAGTCTGGTGTCTCCAGCTGGCCTTTCTGGTCCTCTGCGTTGTCACTCATCGCTGGAGTGAGTGGAGGACAGCGTGAAGCAGCAGAAATCACAGCGGTGGCTTTAAGAGACCGTTTCCTTAAACACATGGACAAACCAACTTCTACCCTGACTTCCTGGCTGGGCTGCATGAAATTTGAGAAGGGCTCCAGGAAAAAAAGTGAATGTCTACAAATGGGAAAAAAGGAAATAAAAATCTAAAAACTTACGTTCTGACCCATTTCCAAAGGATGTCGGATTTGATTGGAAAGCAGGTTTGTATTGATGAACAAACTTTATTTTGTTGAAAAACGACTGTTTGCTAGTTAGAAATTTGCCTTGCCATCTTCTCTATGATTCCTGTCTCTCATGGTCTAATCATACGTGCAAAAAAATCAAGTACAGTATTTCCCAAAGGCATGGACACTGGAAAGGTTCGTTTTGAAAAAGCCTTTTATTTCCCTCCATACTGGTGGCTAAACATCAGTGTGTGTACCAGCACTTTCCAATAGCCCAAGAGACTTTAAAAGCCTGCTAAGTTTGAAAACCGAAAAGTTCTGAGTTTCTCTGTACCCCAGGACGGTTTTCTTTCCTCGAGCTGAGAAAGCAGACAAAAGGAGCTGATTTGACTGAGCTGTGCCAAGTCTTGCCTGGTTTTCTTTCCTCAGCTCTCCCTCTGCCTCTCAGCCTCTCTCCCTCCCTCCCTCACTCCTCACTCTCCCTCTCTCCTCTCTTCTCTCTCTCTCTCTCTCTCTCTCTCTCTCTCTCTCTCTCTGGCTCCCAGTACAGCAACCTTCCGAGGAGTCTTGGCGAAGGTCCAGCCTGTGCCAGGCTCTCTGCATTCTCGTCTCCCAAAGATGTCCTTTGCGGATCAATTAGACCATCTGAAAACAGGCGAGTGGGCGCGGTACCCAAATCCTGGCACCAGCAGCATCGGCTTCTGCCAAATCACCTGACAGATTTCATGGGCTCCTACCTTTCATCATCATTACTAACGTGTTCCCCGAGCAATAGGGGCGGGCTCCAAGCCACTCTCAGCTCGGCAGTAGGGATGCCTTCCCTGGAAATGCCCACATGCCTCAGAGGCACGGCCATGGTGCACGTACTCTCCCGTGGGGAGAGCCGGGTGGAACTTGAATGAGCTCCGTGCTGCTCTGGAGAGACTCACTTCCCCTGGCTCCCTGCTGCAGAGGACCCTGGGAAACAGGGAAGGAGGCATGCAGACTGAAATTCAAACTGTCTGCCCAAATAAGTCCTGCTTTTCCCTATGGAAAAGAGCAGCATTCTGACTGAGCACAGGTTCCTACTTTTAAGGAAACTCATGTGTGTGTGTGTGTGTGTGTGTGTGTGTGTGTGTACTGTACCTACCCACAATTTTACCAAGTATCAAGGGGAGGGAGATTTATTTTCAAAATATAAACACCAATCAAAAGGAGAAAATAACTTAGGATGGATGGAGTAAAATGACGCATCCCCTCGGATTTGGAAACTTGAGTTTCATCTTCGCCATCTGCTCACCCAAACTCATATTAGCAGTCCCCGCTCCCCTGTAAGCACGACTCAGTACTACTCTTGTGTGTTGTGTGTGTGAGTTTCAAAGGCACAGAGTCTGCCTTCAAAACGTACTTCACGCATTCACCTGGTTTAAGAAATAATCTTTGGCTTCTGGTGCTTAAAGAGAGAAGCCACGCAAATGAACCCCCCTGGTTCCACCCAAGGCATCCGGAGTATGAGATGCTCATCTATGGCTCTAGAAACTCCTCAGTCTAGACCACCTCCAGGTCTTCGCTGGATTTATCTGCACTAGGAAGGTCTCTGTCTGCCGGGTGCTCCAGGGGGAAAGCGGTGGCCCCATATGGCCGTGCTTCCTTCTGAGGGTGGGCACACCCTGTAGCCTCATGCCATCTTCCACAGGCAGGCACCCAACAAACCTATTAGTGAAAGCATGATGGGGACAGAGCACGTGACCAGCACTCTGAAGCCCTACTGAAACACACCCAATAGAGTCAAATACCACACCTCACACTGCGAAATCATAAAGCGGGTAAACCGGGAAAGTGCGGTAGGTTCTCTAAGGGTAGAGGGAAAGCGTATCAGAAGGACCCCATTTAATGATCCTTTCCAACAGTGCAGAGAAGCATGGATGGGGCCACAGCAGGTTTGTCATTTATACTCAGCCTGTTGAAAGACAAAGACAACGGCTCTTAAAAGCAGCAAGAGAGAAGGGGCTGCTGGTGCGCGGAGGGAGGCCTCATAAGAGGAACCACTGATCGCTTGCTGGAAACCAGGAGGGCAGGAAAGCAGTGGGATGAGATAGTTTAAATGCTGACGGAAAAAAAAAAATTGACCCAGACTCTGTATCTCCAAAACTCTCCTTCAGAATTCAAGGTGAAATTAAGCATTTCCAAGTTAGGGGAAATGAAAACAGAATTTATTGCTAGCTCCATAGAAATACTAAATTTTTTCCTTCAAACTGCAATGAGAAGAGAATAGTTTAACACAAATCCATGTGAGTAAATAAAATTCTCGAGAAAAGGTAGTAGAGAAATAAATATTAAAGATAGCATAAATGTTTTTATAGCTCTTTTTAAACTACCTGCTTTGAAAGACAACAGCATACACGGTAATTATAAGCCTCTGTTGATGGATTCACATGTATAAAGATATGATTTGTGACAACTGGATAAAGAAAGAAAAAAACTACAAATGAACAGAAAGTTTTTTATACCATTGAAATTAAATTGATAAATATAATTTCACACTATTGAAATTTAAACTAGAATCACTCTAATTTAGACTGATATAAATTAAGATGTTAACTGTGAGTCCCCAGAGCAGCCACTAAAAAACAAGGAAATTCAAAATCAGAGAAGAAAATATTTTACCAGTAAGACATATTTATTTAACATAAAATAAAAGCAGTCATGGGAGAACAGAGGTGCAAAAGATAAAAGACACATTAAGTAAGTAAATCCAACTTTATCAGAGGAACAAAAGATGAAGACACACAGAAAATAGCAAATTGATATAAGCAAATCCAATTTTATCAGTATTTACAGTAAATGTAAATGAACTAAAGATTTCAATTAAAGATGGATTGGTATCATGCATTTTACTTAATAATCTGCAAGAGACACAATTTAAATTCAAGGATAGAGTGATAGCACAGCGGTAGGGCATTTGCCTTGCGCACAGCCAGCCCGGCTGAGCTGGGTTCGATTCCTCCGCCCCTCTTGGAGAGCCTGGCAAGCTACCAAGAGTATTCAATATGCCAAACACAGTAACAAGAAGTCTCACAATGGAGACGTTACTGGGCCCGCTCGAGCAAATTGATGAACAACGGGAGGGCATGATTCCATGCCATTAAAATAGCAACAAAGAGACCCAAAGTTGATATACTAAAATCAGACAAAATAGACAGTAAGATAAATATTGTTACTAAAGACAAGTAAGAACATAAGGAATCAAATTATCAAGAAAATACAGCCACCAAAACAAAAGATCTCCAAAGTCCATAAAGCAAACAGTGGAGGAAGAAAAGACAAGTCAACGGATAGATATCGACTTTCCTTCTTTACATTCCAATGTAATAGTCCATATCAATAAAAGGAAAAATAAAAATCATACAATCATTTCAATAGATGCAGAGAAAGCATTCAGCAAGATCCAATACCCACTCATGATTTTTAAAAATGGATGTTGGGTCTTGCTGAATGGGAGTTGAAGGAAATTTACCACATGCCCACAGCAAACATCAGACTTAATGGTGAAAAGCTGAGAGCCTTCCCTCGAAGATCAGGTACAAGACAAGGTTGCCCCTCACCACAACTGTTCAATACAATACTGGAAGTTCTCGCCTTATAGATAAGAAAGATATTAAGGGCAGTCAGATCAGAAAAGATGTCACTGGTAGAGGAACAGGTGTTGGAACATTGTATGACTGAAACCTAATCATGAACAACTTTGTAACTGGGTATCTCATGGTGATTCAATTAAAAAAATTGGGCTGGAGCGATAGCACAGCGGGTAGGGCGTTCGCCTTACAAGTGGCCAACATGGCCGACCCGAGTTCGATTCCTCCGCCCCTCTCGGAGAGCCCGGCAAGCTACCGAGAGTATTCGATATGCCAGACACAGTAACAACAAAGTCTCCAATGGAGACGTTACTGGGCCCGCTCGAGCAAATCGACGATCAACGGGAGGGCCTTTACCTTTTAAAAAAATTAAAATTAAAAAAATGTTTAAAGATGTTAAACTCTCCCTATTTGCAGACAACATGTTACTATACTTAGAAAACCCTAAAGACTACCAAAAAAAGCTTCTAGAAACAATAAATATGTAAAGAGTGAGGCTACAAATTCAATATGCAGAAATCCATGGATTTTTCTATATGAAATAATAAAATGGAAGAGAAATTTTAAAAAACAATCCCATTCACAATTGATTTTCACACAGAAAATCAAATACCTGGGAATCCACTTAACAAAAGAGTTGTAAAAGACTTATACAGAAAAGACAAAACTATAAATCATTGCAACACGAACTAAAAGAGGACACAAGGAAATGGAAATACACCTCCGTTCATAAACGGTCACCGGTCACCGTCCTCCCGTTGTTCATCGATTTGCTCGAGCGGGCCCAGTAACATCTCCATCATGAGACTTGTTGTTACTGTGTCTGGCATATCGAATATGATATATTCGCATATCGCATATCGAGTACGTCACGGGGAGCTTGCCAGGCTCTGCCGTGCAGGCGAGATAGTCTCGGTAGCTTGCCGGGCTCTCCGAGAGGGGCGGAGGAATCGAACTCGGGTCGGCCATGTTGGCTGCTTGTAAGGCAAATGCCTTGCCACTGTGCTATCGCTCCAGCCCGTTCATAAACAGGAAGAATCAATATTGTCAAAATGATAATCTTGCCTAAAATATTATATAGATTCAATGCAATCCCTATAAAAGTGCCCATGAGATCTTCTTTTAAGGTTGTTCACAATAATTTATTACATTCAATATTCCAACGCCAATTTCACCACCATTTCTCCTTACCCACCACTATTATTTTGAGTTTTCCCAATCATCACCCAAACCTGCCCCAATAGCAGACCCTAAATAACTTATTTTGTATTGCTTGTTATGAATAATTCTCTAACAATGATCAAAAAAGGTTTCTTTCCTTAGAAGAAAGTGTGTGAAGATTGTTGTATCTCACCCTGGAGTATAAGAGATTACTAATATGTTATAGGTTGAACCTTGCGTCCAGGAATTCTAAAATTTTAAATAGTGTGATATACAGCTGGGGTTAAATTTTTAACTGGATGATGACTTTGGGGTCTGAGGCATCTCTGCGGCTTGTTGCTCCCTTCTGAGATTTAATTGTGAATCTCTGGATCATGGCCATTAATGAGCTTATATGGTGCCAGAGGCAGTTCCACAAGATCTTTAAAGACACAGATCAAACACTGTTGAAACTCATATTGAATAATAAAAAAGCCAAAGCAATCCTGGGAAAGGGGAGGCTTCTTTCTCCACCTTCAAACTCTACTACAAAGCTGTAGTAATTGGAACAGTATGGTACTGGAGTAAGAGCAGACTCTCAGATCAGTGGAATGAGAATGCAGAGACCAGAGACAGATCCTCAGTTATCCAGACAGTTAATCTTCAGTAAAAATGCAAAAAGTATGAAGTGGAGCAAGAAACGCCTCTTTAACA